TTCATGCCTTTGATGCTCAACAAAACCTGAAAGCGCTCTCACTCTAATAGCGCTCTACCAAGACAGACAGGCAGAAGAGTAGCACCAAGCACTATTAGCTTTTTCTGACGAATTCCCAGTGGGTACAAGCACTACCTTTCTATTCGAGACCGATTAATTTCTCACCTGGAATGAACTGGAAATCTTTTATAGGTAGTCGCAAGTATTGTCTCGGTGAGGAGGGAGTATAACCTGCAGCGCGATCCCTCCACCACCCCCCCCCCCCCAAATACGAGCTTGCAAAAAGTCGCAAGTAATATGCCGCTCGTTGTGCAGCATAGTGCAACGTACGACGGGGATTATTTGCGCCGCTGCAGCTGGCAGAAAGAAACCGTTCTCCTCTGGCGACGCAACACAGAGTTGGTTGCCTCAAGCCAAAGCTCAGCTTTGCTGTCTACTTCCTCTCCTACTCCCTTTTTCCCTCTCTAATGAGTATCTAAAAAATTTCTGCACTCAAAGTCAATACCACAGACACGTAACAGCACCACTCTCATGCAGTGGCAGCTCGATCACCTTGATCCAGATTTAGAGATGCGGAGAGATGTACATGGGAGCTCAGTGAGCTAGAGAAACAGCAGGAGGTCGCATCTCGGACTTCCATAAGAGCACCTTGCTCTTTTCAAGTCCACTAATGCAAAGGTTGAGGTCTCGCTGCGAACTTTTCGTCGCGCAGGCTCCCATCACCACTGTCCGCGTAGGAAGGCCCAAGGACTTCTAGTGTGTTATTCTCTTTCAGGATTCTTCTGTCTAGGATAGGGAAGTAGTTTCTACGCTTCCCGTATATTTATTCCCACCATTAGTTATGATCTAGAGAGACTCACGGCCTGTTAGCACTTATCTCGTCTATCCTTAGGATGTGGTTTCTCGTCTATCCTTGGGGTTGGTATTTCTCGACCGGATCAGGCCGACTCACTGGGGTAGTTCCTCTCCACAAGTTACAAAAATTATAACCTCGTCATCCGGGCAGTTGATTAGGGCGGTCGTCAACGGGCCGCAGCGCGTGCCAGGAACTATTTGCTTTTTCCAGGCTAATTTAGTCATTTTTTCCACCTTGTGAAGATAAGGAGCTGCTAATCTGGGAAAAAGTAGCCAAAACAGTGAAAAGTTGGAAAAAATGACTAAATTAGCCTGGAAAAAGCAAATAGTTCCTGGCACGCCGCTGCGCGTTCAGGCGTGAGTTCCGAGAGGGATGAGCCTCGTGAAAGGTTGACACTATTCTGGCCCTTCCGGCAGAGCGCACAACAATGAAAATTCGTATGAGTATCCAATACGGCATTAGAAATCCCCCAGTCAAGTCATAAAATCGTCGAGGTATTCGAGGGGAAAGTTTCTCGGACGGGCTGAAGAGGGGACAGGCCGTAAGCCTAGAGGATGTGCTACTTTTGCAACTCAAAAACATTTCGGGAAAGCGCGACGGAGTCATCCCCCCTCGGAATTTTATATTCAAGGTGATGCTTCTGCGTTTAGTTTTCTCTTTTCATTATCATATTGGTGAGAGTGAAATTGATGAGGAGAAATAACTGATGTGTTTTATGGTACAACGCCCTAAACAGTCCGACTTACGCCCCATCTATCTGTATGCATGTACAAAGTGTACAAGCTGTCCGTCCGGGGTGCTATACAGGAGGGCCAAAAAAAAGTCATTTTTGCTCCATGACTTTCAAGGCGCTATAAGTTACACTTTATTAAATTTTTATCGGACATTTTTACTACCATATTAAAGAGCACATTAAATACTATAATGATACTCCGCCACAGCCTTCTGGAGGAGCGCCATCGAGAGATTCGCTGCGCCCTTCCATTCGAAGTAGGCGGGAGTTTTTCCAAAACCCTTCGATTCCATGTGGTGGCACCCAAACCTGTAGCAGCACAAGGTCTCCAAGAAGGTACGGGCGAACATGTAGGGAGGATATCCTTCTCGAGTTACTTGATGTAACCGCCAGCGCTCACCTTCAGTCGGGGTCTACAAAGAAAATATCGGTCTTCCCATTCCAGGTACGGCCGGTCCACACCATCAACCCGCGCCTTGGTGAATGGGGTGAAGATGATGTCCTGGACCGTAGCGACGTTGCCGGAGCTGCTCGATGTTTGAGGTCTTGCAGATCAAGAGTACTGGTCTCCAGGTAGCTATCCATGGTGATTCCATTCAAGAAGTTCCGCAGCTGTTTGGAGGCCACGTGAATTCCAAAGGCGTTCTCCACTCAGGCCGCGACTGGAGATGACTTCATATTTTGGTGTACATGAAGGTGAATGGCGGCAGCCGGCTCCTGCTTATAGAGGAAGATCTTGGGTATCTTCCGCCCTGGTACTCATATCCACTTCCTCTGTCTGGGCTGCGAAAACTTCGCTCATATGTGACTCGGCCGGAATGACTTTTTTTTGGCCCCCCTGTATGGAGAACTCTGGGGGGCGATTTCCCGGCTTTTTTGTCGAATTTACTGTTATTTACTGTCTTGTTCATAAGGATCTGAGTTGCCCATTTCACAGTTTCTTACACAAGTACGCTCCTTTGAGCGACAGCTGCTTATTTCAGCGCAAGGCAGCGCGAAGACAAGTGGAATAAGATCAGCAAGGGATTAATGAATGAGATAGAGACAAAGATTTATTCAGCTAAAAAAAATTGAATCACGTGGAGGATCAGAAAAACATATAAGCGGCAATGTAGTAAAAAGTGAGCAATGGGTCTCTAATTCATGGGAAGAGTTTTAGGATTCGATATCGAGATTAATCGTAACCGGTAAATGTAGAGGGAATGATCAGTCCAGAGATCTTTGCTGTTTTAGAATCAAATGTTCAAGCCAGTTCCCACTGTTAGTGGGTGAAATACCACTGAATGCAGAACACCAAGTCCATCAGTTGGATGTACTCATCAGATCCATCAACGAGACGAGCTTCCACTACCTACAATGAGAAAACGTATTGATTCGGAAATTAATTAACTACAGAACCACGACAAATAAGTGAGAAACAGTTGTTGTCTTTTGACTCATACTTCCTGCGCATATGGAGTACGAGTATTTGCCGAATAAACTCAAGTGCGAAAAAAGCACGTTCTACAGTTGGGGGAAAATTTTGCAAAATATGATACCCATCGGAATTCCTCTGATGGAACGACCGATTCCTTCCCCCATCCTCATCCCACCTACCATCTTCCTGAGTTCTCCCAGCTTCCTATTCCCAGTTTTTTTTTCGAAAATTCTCCAACCTTCCCTCAAAACTGCCGTCCAATGGAATTGGTAGGGAGGGGGAAGGGGGATCAAAAGTATAACCCATATAACCGTGAAACGTCAACAACTAGTAACATTTCTCACGGGAGGCAGACACGACCCCCTCCTCTACCGCCCAATTACGACCTCCCCATCCGCTCGGGAAGCCCAACTTATGGCGCGTCCTGATGGGCCAACCTGTGAACAAGCATGCCACACCCAATAATCAACGACATCCAACGTAATCTCAAGATAGTGCATGTTGGCCCCACGGCGGCTTCCGTGGGCCCAGCATGCACTCCCAGGGCAAGGAAAAACGTGCGAATAGAGTAGTGCAGAAATAGTATCTGGGGTGAAATAGTGAAATAAAATACTAATAATAGTGAAATAACAGAATTAGTGAGTGAGAAGAGCAACCAAACTAGTGTAAAAGTTGCGCCGGGTATGATTCATTCGATTCTCACAACAACGCAAAATGTCACCGAAATCGTTGTAAGTCTTGTTCGGTGCAGGGGCGTTTCAGGAGGTGGGTGGGGGAGCTGGATTTGGCGCGGCGGCGGCCTGTTGTCCACCAATTGTGATCGTGTGCCAGCTTCAATAACTGGTAGAAAATAGGCTGGTGCTGCGTCAAACGAAGCCCCTGTAAGACCCTAGCGTCCGTAACAAGTCTGTAAACGTTAACGAGTCACTACCCTGGACAAACGAACTCTGGCAGATGAAATCGAAACTGGATAGTCTTACGCCATCAATATTATTAGTCATCGAGAACTCGGAAAACGGACCTAACCCTCACCGATGCGCAACTCCAACTCATACTATTTGTGGCAGCCGGTTATTCAAAGCCATGTCATGCATCCATTACTGGGGACAACCAAAATGTTGCATATAAGATAAAAAACATACCGCCATTTTTTCAAAAATCGCAGCTTTGTCAATGTCGCTGAGACTATCGTCATCAAGTAGCTGATCGTATATCTGATTAATTAGTGATGGTCCGGCATATCCTGCACGATACACGTCGTCGAGGGCGTGTAAGAGCCTATCAGAGTCCGACGAATGACATGCAGTGAGCAGCTTATGTGCCTAAAACAGAGAATACACCACATAGTTAATATCAGATCTACGCAAAATAACGGCGGAACAAAAGTCTACGCAAAATAACGAGAGAATAAAAAATCTACGCAAGATAACGGGAGAACAAAAGAACCGGGTGTACAGCCTACTTTAGTTCAAGACATACGAACCGCGCAAGGGAGATTAATTATCGGATGTTTTCAAGCATACTGCCGCGTTGAACCAACTAGCTCTTGATGCGCAGGTGACGCCATTTGCAACAAATTTTTTGTGACCCCTCGCAGCCCGGATAAGGGAACTACTCCCGAAAAAAAATCACGTTTCCGAACGCGTGAATGTGAATGAAACAACTTACATTATCCTCGGCGACATATCCTGTTATGTTCAATACGTAATCGTTTGTGACATTTTCGCGGCAAGACACAGACTGTAGGTAAGTGATTGATCTTCGAAGATCTCCTTCACATAACGTAATAAGTGTTTCAAGAGTGGAACTGTCGATCTTGACACCCTCTTTCTCACAGATGTCACGCATCCCTAGAACGATGAATAAAATTATTAGGCAACGACGAACCGAAAAGAGCCAATAAATTCGAGGCGCCTAACTGAAGTAGGAAAAAGGATACAAGTCACAGGAAATACAACATGGAGCATGCCGACACTGTTGGTCAAATTTGCCAAAATTCGTAAGCGCATAATATCGACTCTGACAGTCCAAAAAACGTTTTTTTTTTGTTGGGCAGTGAAACAGTCCATCATCAGTAGGGGAGGGGGCAATCTGCGCGATGATCACGAATATGTCATCATTTTTGACACCAGCTCCATTTCACAGCAACCTGTAGGTGGACACCTGTGCTCGAGCTTAAGCTTGAAATGAACGGCGCTTGTTATTTCGATAGCCAACAGCAAAAGCTATTTTTGCGATTTGGGCACTGCATGACCTGTATAGGTAAGTTTACAGGCCGTGTTCATATCTGCGAGTGAGTAGTATTCGCCGGTTTCCGAGAATCTGTAGATTTTAGGCAGACCGCTGTTCTGAAGACCATTGAGACGACGAGGAAGTATACGTATCGATCGGCGACTGCGCGGGATTGAGTGATACTGATACTGCGATTTGGTAGAACGGCGTTTCCGGCGACTGCACGCCAAAGGGGTGGATGGGTTCAATGGCCGAAGGCTGCAAGGCGATTGCGGAGATTCAGATATCCGGCGATTCGGGAGATTGAACCATTCGGGAGATTTGGTGATCTCCCAATTCGCCGGATCGCTCAATCTCCCCAGACAACAGATGGAAACTTGTACTTTCTTCGCCGCACGATCTCTCAGATCGCTGAGTCTTCGGCATTGTCGCCAAGCCTACCCAAAATTTCAGAATCATTCTGGTCGATGCCTCGAAAGTAAACGCGGCCAGGTTTGAAAAATACCTGTGACGCCCAAAATTGGCAGACAAATACAGATTAAAGATGGAAGGTCATACTCAATATCTCAATTTGAGAAATTGTCGATACATAGGTTGGAAGGAAAGTCCTGTCACTGTTGTGACTTTTTTTTCTTTTTTATTTTCTAACTCAACATAAAATGGAAATTAGTCAACAATGAACTCGTCATAGTTAGCCACTACAGTGCTCCACCTAATGGGCAGGCAAGCATTCCCCCTCTCCCAGCACTGGGGAGGCTGCGAGTAGGGTAAGTCAGGGGACTCTCGACTGATGTCATCAAAGTTGCTGTAAGTTTTCTTGGCTAAGCAAGCCTTTAATGGAGGAGGTGGTAGCAGTGTAGCGGACTAGGTCAGGAGAATGTGGCAAGCGGGACTGGCCTCCCATCCTTGCTCCTCAGATATTTGGTAGGTCTGAAGCAGTAGGTACGGGGTCTCGCGTACTATCGAGAGTGGTGGTCGCACGAGCTGAGTCTCGGTCATTTTTTCGTCTCAAAACGATTTCCCCATCGGTTTCCAGACGACTAAAAGCGAGCAAAGTGGTTAGCAGTGTACGCGTCTGTTTTGAAGGGCAGCCCGTTCTGCAGCATCGCCATCTCGCGTCCCTAGGAGCAGCAGCCAAGGGGATCCGAATTGCATGCCCGGTTGGGACTGCTAAGAACGGGTCTTCATGCCTTGAGAGAGACACAACGGTACTGTGGCTTGAAATCATAGAGAAATCTTCTGCAATCTTCGCTACAGCAGTTGCTTAGAAATCCCTTTGACGAAAAGCGGAAAATAAAGGAGACTGATTAAGGGGTACCGGCCGGTTGGCGCACGCGCTGCCAATCTCACAGGTATCGAGTGATGCCAATCGAACACAGTAATTTTCGGTAGTCAAGGCTTGCTAGGCGGACCGACTACTGTCAGTTAGGTACATCCGATTCTTGTCGCAAGACTGCCGGGGTAGCCTAAAGATTCCTCCTTGTTTGCTTCGAGAATGGTGGAGTCTTCCGTTCCGTGGGACCGTCCCAACCAAGGTTTGCCTTCGAGGTTCGAGTCTCTTTTCGCCCTGCGAGCGAACCAAAAGTGAACGGTCCTGATGGTACAGGTGTCCTCCAGCAATGCACTGTTGATGTTGCTGAGGCCAGCGCTGCGGGGCGCACCGATGCATGATGATGACCGAAATGCTCTTGTGAAGTACACGTAATCAGACCCAGAAAAGAACAAGGCGTCACTCAGCCACACCTCTTGCACGAAACTCTTGGGATGTTCTACAAAGCATGGGTATGTCAAGCGTCATGTTCCAAGGCATGGAGAATCAAAAACTGTGCCTTCTCAAAAAGCACTGCCGCAGGACTTTCCTTCAACGCATATATTATGACGTGATAGTGAACAATGCCACACTATAAAACGTAAAACATTTTTAACACACACCATACCTTTCCAGCTGAGATTCCGTTGGAAGCGGCTTGAAACGAAATTTCGCACATCGGGACGTGAGAGGATCAATAATGCGAGAAATATAATTGCATATCAGAAAGAACCTGGAAGATCAGAGCGAGATACTTTATTCGAAGCAGATCATGATAAATCACTTGGCAAAAAAGCTACCTGGTTGTTTTACAGTACTTCTCCATTATTTGCATCAGCTTCATCCAAAATCACGATTTTTCAGCGGTACGCCAGCCTTAGATACAGCACGGTGTGCAAAATCTTTGATCTGAAATATAAAAGTCATGGTGAACACATTGGAGAGAATGCCGCTCTGCCAGTACTTCCGTATTATTTGGGATTTTTACATCCATATTCAGTAATTCCATCTAATTTCCTCTTTTTTTGCAAAAGATATGTCTATTGCACGTCCAAGCATGAAATAGATACCTAACAGATGTGAAATTGGGCAGTGCGATAGAAAAATGCGTGACATACAATGTGTGTCACGCGGTCTCGAAAGTGTTAAGCCGATGAAATGAATCACAAGGGAGCCTTTAGTCACTGTTATATAGATTAGTAACTCGATGCATAGGTTTGTGGGCCTGATACGCACGTCAACTTGCCGTTCCCGTTACAGGACCCCTTACCCTCTTTTGATATCCGTTCAAAGCTGATCCCAACCTAAATATCTACGGAACGGTCCTTAAATAGAGATGCGGCAGATGCCAGGGAAGGGAACTAGCAGTAGGAAATATATGAGAACAAATAAAGAAAAAAGGCAATGAAGAAACATACCCTTGTTCGTACAACTTGTATGCCTCTTTCATCAGAAGCGTTCAGTTCCAGGACACGATCTCGGAACAGTTCGGGATTTGGAAAAAGTTGTCGGCAGAAAGCAAGTGCAGCAGAGGTTTTGCCTGTACCGGGGGGACCATACAGCAGTATATTTGGCATCTGCAGGCACCATTATCACGAGAAGGAAAAACTGCAGAGTTTTCACCACTAGACTCACATCAGATCCTTCCAAAACCTTCTTAAGAACGGCAACAACTTCTTTCTGGTAGACGAGATCATTGACCTTTCTTGGACGACTGCAAAAGAATACTTTTACTTTGTACCAAGCAATACTAAACACTAGACTCACTATTTCTCGACCCAAGGCACCCGCGTTTGAACAGTAGAAGTAGGTTCTTTGCTCTTGGCAGTGAAGAAAGTGTTCATCTGAAAATAATGGTCAATTAAGGTAAACGAAGTGAAGCATTACCTCGAAGATCCAACGATAATCAATAGCTGCCAAAAAAACATGGGACCTTATGACCTAACCAAATACTTTCGTTTTAATCCAACAGAAGAGCGGTGAGTGCAACTTGGCCGGGTGCTCACAAAGGCCTCACGTCCAACAGTCACCCGTTGCCTTAACAAGGGCTGCCTTACGTCTACAGTCCACCTAGGAACAGCTAGCTCACCGAATTTCCCAGGGATGAAGCCTTTTTCACTCGCAACTACCTAAGGCTAACGTATTTGGGGAACACATGGCCTTTGACGTCGAGCGAGAAGCGCCGTCGATTCGTTCCTCTAACACCGCAGCTACGTTAACGCTAACGCGAACAACTCCAGAATTCACACTGAGTTGCACGAGAGTGCTTCAGCGTCATTCAATTAGGTTCAAACGCGGACTTAGACCTGGGGCAACCCGACGACGTGGGCATTTTGCATTTTTGCTACTTCCCATCAACGTGCCCACTCATCTAGAAAGCCTTTTCTCGAGCTGCCAGGTTTTACCGTGGTGGGTCGCCGAGCATGCTCCAGCTTTGTGCACTGGAACTAGCGAAGCAGCAAAAGCGCGAAATGCCCACTGTCGCCAAACTGCGCCCTCGACCCTATACCTTTGAGGTCACAGCTTCAGCTCCAGAACCGAGAACCTTCTACCTTCTTCTATTTCAAGTCTTAATGATCACCGGATTGCAACTGTTTAATGAACGTTATCTGGTCTTCAGCTGGAAACAAAGGGATCAATTAATCAAATTTTTTTCGAGAGAAGGCTTCTCTTGGAGAAGTGAACTGAACGATAAAGGACATAGGCTGTCATAACCTCAGGGATTTTACTCTGAAGTACCACTTTGCGTTAACTAGCTAGGAAACTTGTTTGCGAGCGATGCCGCACTTCGGGTGCCCTAGACTACACCCCTGCTATGTACTAGCGTAGTTTCGGAGGGAACGGGGAGGGGCAGGGGTGTTGTCTAGCCTATAGCCCCAACTATGTACATCAACATCAACGTGAGTGAGGGAAGTCACACACAGGGGCGCAGACAGACACTCTTGAGAACAATGGCTGCTGGGGAGTGCCAGAGGGTGGGTGGTCGACGCGCCGTCCACCCGCCCTCCACCAACTGTTGAAGCGACCAAGCGACAACAATGGTGGAAAGACAGCAATGGTGGAAATTGGGCCAGCGCCACGCCAAACCTAGCTCCGAGAACGCCCAGTGTCCGCTGGAACAAGGCTCCGACCACGTCGCACATTGGGAAATCTCCACTGGAGGGGTCTGAGAAAATATCTTCGAATAGCTGATTTTTCTTGTTTCACGGACGCTATGAGGACGAGGGTCGTAAGTGCTCGTTGCTGGAAGGGGGGAGGGGTCGTATCTGCCTTTGAGAGGAATGAGCGGCGTTGGGAAAAATTTCCTTAGTTGCTG